ACGAGGACGAGGAAGAGGAGGAAGAGGAGGAAGAGGACGAGGAAGAGGAGGAGGAGGAGGGCGGGGGGGCGGGGGGGGGGGGGGCCGGGGGGGGGGGGAAAGCCAAAAAAAACCTCCCCCCCCCCCCCGGCCCTGTCACCGTCACCGCGCTCGGGGCACCCTCGTGCCTGGTTTGGCACGTCCGGGGGGTGTCACCCCCCCACCCCCTGTCCCCGAGCGGGGGGGACGGGGTGACCCCGGGGTGACCAGCCCCCCGTTGGGGTGTTCTCGGGGTGACGTACCCCCTCCCCGTTGGGGGTGGTGCGTTGGGACAGACCCCTGTCCCCCTGCAGTGTCACAGGGTGACACAACCCTGTCCCCACCGAGGTGTCCCCACCCCCCCCCATTCCATCGTGGGGTCACAGAGGTGACAGAGCCCCATCCCCCTTGGGGTGACCCCCACATAGCCCGAGGTGACAGTCCCCGTCACTGTCACGGGGGTGACGTGCCCCTGCCCCTTTTGGGGTATCCCCAGGGGTGACACGGCTGTCACCCTCGGGGTGTCGTGGGGGTGACAGAGCCGTGTCCCCGCTGAGCTGGCACAGCCTGACAGAGCCCTGTTGTCCCCTCTCGGGGTGGCACATGGTGACATCCTCTTCCCCACTGGGGTGGCACGTGGTGACATAACCCTGTCCCCACCGGGGCAGCCCAGGGGTGACAGACCCCCCACTGTCCCTGTCACGGGGTCAGGGGGTGACGTACCCCCGTCCCCATCGTGCTGTCCCCTGTTCTTGGGGGTGACAGACCCCCCCACCGTCCCTGTCACGGGGTCAGGGGGTGACGTACCTCCATCTCCATCGTGGTGTCCCCCGTCCCCATCGTGGTGTCCCCAGGGGTGACAGGCCCCCGTCCCTGTTGCGGTGTCACAGGGTGACACAGAGCTGTCCCCCCGGGGTGACATCCACGCTCGGGCCAGGCCTGTGCCCAGCCTCGTGCCCCCGAGGGCCTGGGGGACCTGGGGGCGTTGGCAGGGGGGGTCCAGCCTTACCTCCGCCCTCGTGTCCCCTCTGTCCCCGTCGGCCACCCGTCCCCGTCCCTCTCCAGGCGCCATGTCACTCTGTCCCTCCCGTGGCCACCTCCGGGGCCACCTCCTGGGCCACCTCCAGGGCTACCAGGGCCGAGAGCCACGGCGGGGTGGGGGGGGGCAGGTTTATATTTAGCAGCTCCCCGGGGACCGATCGGGTTTCCTCTGGGTGCGCCGGCAGCTCCGCGGTGTCCCCGGGGGGCCAGTGACATGGAGGGAGCGGGGTCGCCCCGCGAGGGGGGGCAGGTGGCCCCCTCCCCCATCCTGGGGCTGTGGCGCCAGGCTCCCCCCGCCAAGAAGATGAAGAAAGCCGTCCTCTTCTTCGAGGTGGAGATCCTGGATGCCCGGACGCGGGAGAAGCTCTGCTTCCTCGATAAGGTACCTGGAGACGGTGTGGGGGGACACGTCCCCTGTCCCCCCTGGCTGGGGGGCTGGGCGATGGGGAAACTGAGGCAGGGGGGTCCCAGCAACCCCTCGACGGCTTCTCGCTCGTCCGCAGGTGGAGCCCCACGCCACCATCGCCGAGATCAAGAGCCTCTTCACCAAGGCCCGTACGTACCAACAGGAATGGGGACCCTCTCACGGGGACCCTGGTGGCAGCTGAGGACCCTCTGTGGGGCTGGGAACCCAGCGTGGAGCCTTTGTGGTCACCATCATGACCAGAGACCCATCATGTGGCCTTGGGGACCCATCATGAGGCAGTGGGAACCCCCTGTCATGGGGTGGTGAGGACCCTTGTCACAGCTGGGGACCCATCACAGGGCTATCACGGTCAACATCATGGCTGAGAACCCATCATGGGGCCATGGGGACGTCTGTCATGGGGCCTTGGGGACCCTCATCATTCATGGCAACCTGTGACATAGTCGTGAGGCCCCCCATCACAGGGTGGTGGGGGACCTGCCACAGGACCGTTGTGGTCACCATCATGACCAGGGAACTGTCGTGGGGCCTTGGGGACTCATCAGTGTGGCCGGGGACCCATCATGAGGCAATGGGAACCCCCGTCATGGGGTGGTGGGGACTCTTGTCACAGCTGGGGACCCATCAGGGGGACATCATGGTCGACATCATGGTTAAGGACCCATCACGGGGCTGGGGGTCACAGCTGGGGACCCGTCACAGGGTCACGGGGACATGGGGACCCTTGTTGTAGCCGAGGACCTGTCACAGGATCATTGTTGTCCCCATCGTGACCACAGACCTGTCACGGGCCCTTGGGGACCTTCCCTGTGCCTTGGGACGGGGACCTCCATCGTGGAGTGGGGGTGCCACTTGTCACAGACAGAGACCCATCGGGGGGCCATCGTGGTCACCATCGTGACCAAGGACCCTGTGTGGGGACCCTGTCATGGCTGGGGACCCACTTTGGCTTGTGGGGACCCCCACTGTGACAAGGGTGTGGGGACCCCCACCCATGGTCAGGGACCTGGCACGGGGCCACCACGGTCCCCATTGTCACCAGGGACCTGTCCCGGGGCTGTGGTGACCCCTGCTGTGGCTGGAGCCCTGCCCCATGGCCGTGGGGAGCCCTGTCATGACTGGAGACCCTTCATGGAGACACTGAGGTCACCAGAGTGACCCATGGTGGGGCCTTGGTGACCCCCTGTTGTCACCAGGGCCCCATCCTGGTGCCACAACTGTCCCCGCGGTGCCACCAAGGCTGTTTCTTCTCTCCCGCAGATCCCCAGTGGTACCCGGCCAGACAGTCCCTGCGCCTGGACCCCAGTGAGTGCCGGCACGGTGGGGCGTCCCCGTGGTGTCCCCATGGTGTCCCCGAGGTGTCCCCACGGTGTCCCCAAGCCCGTCGGGGCTGGGGGGTGACCGGGCCGCGTGTCCCCGCAGAGGGCAGGTCGCTGAAGGACGAGGACGTGCTGCAGAACCTGCCCGTGGGCACCACCGCCACCTTCTACTTCCGCGACCTGGGCGCCCAGATCAGCTGGGTGACGGTGAGGTGCCCCCCCCGCTGTCCCTCCGTCTGTCCCTCCAGCCCTCCCTCTGTCCCTCCATCACTCTGTCCCTCCAGCCCTCTGTCTGTCTGTCCCTCCAGCCCTCCCTCTGTCCCTCCCTCCCTCTGTCTGTCCCTCCCTCCCTCTGTCCCTCCATCACTCTGTCTGCCTGTCTGTCTGTCCCTCTGTCTGTTCCTCCATCCTTCTGTCTGTCTGTCCCTTCGTCCCTCTGTTCCTCAATCCCTCTGTCTGTCTGTTCCTCTGTCCAACCGTCTGTCCCTCCAGCCCTCTCTCCCTCTGTCTGTCCATCCCTCTGTCCCTCCCTTCCTCCTTCCGTCCCTCTGTCCGTGCCTCCTGTTGTCCCTCCATCCCTTTGTCCCTCTGTCCCTTTGTCCCTCCGTCCATCTGTCCCTCCCTGTGTCCCTCTGTCCCTCCCTCTGACTGCTCCTCTGTCCCTGTGCACCCCCAGCCCTCTGTCCGTCTGGCCCTCCCTCCCTCTGTCCCTCCATCCGCCCGTCTGTCTCCTCCATCTGTCCTTCCCTCCCTCCATGTCCCTCTGTCCATCTGTTCTTCTGTCCCTCCCTATGTCCCTCTGTCTGTCCCTTTGTCTGTCTGTCCCTCCAGCCCTCTGTCCGTCCCTGCGTCTGCTCCTCTGGTCCCACATCCCTCCATCTGTCTGTCTGTCTGTCCATCTATCCATGCCTCCATCCATCCGGATGTCCCTGTGTCCTTCCCTCTCTCCATCCCTGTGTCCAACCTTCTGTCCCTCTGTCTGTCCCTCGCTGTCCCCCTCCATCCACTCCTCTGTCCCTCAACCCCCCATCCCACTGTCCATGTGTCTGTCCCTGCATCCCTCTGCGTGTCCCCGTGTCCTTCTGTCTGTCCCTCAGTCTGTCCCTGCCTCCCTCCATGTGTCCCTCTGTGCCTCATGTCCCTCTGTCCGTGTGTCCATCCCTGCCTCCCTCTCTGTCCCCACGTCCCTCTGTCCCTCCGTTCGCTCCTCTGTCCCTCTGTCCGTCCCCCTTTCAACCCCCCCTCCCTCTGTCCGTTTGTCTGTCCCTGCCTCCCCCTCTGTGTCCCCACGTCCCTCTGTCTGTCCATGTCCCCATGGCCCTCCCTCCCTCCATCTGTCCCTCGACCCCCCCATCTGTCCGTCTGTCCGTCCCTGCATTGTCTGTGTGTCCCTGTGTCCCTCCCTGTCCCCACGTCCCTCTGTCCGTCCCTGCCTCCCCCTGTCCCTCTGTCCATCCCTGTCCCCCTGTCCCTCTGTCCGTCCCTGCCTCCCCCTCTGTGTCCCTCTGTCCCTCCCTGTCCCCACCTCCCTCTGTCCATCCCTCTGTCCCTCCAGCCCCCGTGTCCCTCCCCATGTCCCTCCATGTATCCTCGCCTGCCCCCCCCATCCGTCCATCCATCCGTCCGTCCGTCCGTCCGTCCGTCCGTCCCCGCAGGTGTTCCTGACGGAGTACGCGGGGCCGCTGCTCATCTACCTGCTCTTCTACTTCCGCGTCCCCTTCCTCTACGGCCCCCGCTACGACTTCACCGCCAGCCGCCACCCCGTCGTGCAGTCAGTGGGGCCGGGGGGGCGGGGGGCACTGGAGCTGTCCGGGGGGGGCTGGAGGTCACGCTGGGGAGCCAGGAGGCTGGTTTGGGGGTCAC